CTAAATCTGTCCAAGAATCTAGAAAGATTTTCCCCAACCAGAGAATCTAGAAAGGAAGTCAGAAAAAAAAAAAATGTTCCTCCTTCTACCAGACATAAAAGCCCTAAAATTACCTGCAAACACAGGTGTGCACGCACACACAGAAATGTATCTCTAGATGGAGGGTCAGTGGTTTTCATCAGCTTCTCAGAAGTTTGTGCCCCCCTAATCTGATTTGGATGAGTCATTACGAAGAGCAAAGGTTTCTGAATTGCTTGCTGTACCTCTGGAATTGGGAATGTGGAACAAAGGCTGCCTCTTCTGAAACCCCAATGGAGTTTCTGTCCCTGCTCCTGTCTGACGATGCTCTTGCCTGAGTCACTGCGCTGGCTCCTCAGAAAGCGTCTCTCACCCCGTTATGTCATGCCGGCTAACAGCACAGACTCGGGAGTCAGATGGCCTGGGCTCCAAGCTGGCCCGTGTCGCTGACTGCTTGACCTTGCCTCAGACTCCTCATCTGTAGAAGGGGAGCCCACAGGATCATCCCCTGGATGAGCCCTACGAATTTGCCTTTGCCGCAGTGTGAAGGAAAATAAAGCCACCTTTCAGGTAGTGTCATGGGAAAGTGCATTTCCAAATCAGGAGTACGGGAAGAAGGCACTGCTCTTCCCAGTCTGTGGGTGTTTCTTGCAGTTGAGTCACCTCCCTTGTCAGGCCTGACTGAACAGGGACTAAGACGACTCTGTTGGTTTAGGTTTCTCTTGAACAGTAGCCTCCTCTCGCCTCTTGCCTTTCTCTGCTCCATCTTCTGCATCATCCATCTAAATACTAAAACCTGCTTTTGGATCCCTGGAGAAGGAGGTACTTGCTGAGGCCCCTAGAATATCAGGAAAGAGACACGGTGCCCTCCTAGACCTGTGTGGCCCACAACTCACATTACGGACACAACCTGAAGTACACCAGCATCCTGCCGCTCTGGGGCCTCCAAGGTGCTCTGCTCTTTCTGCCTGGTGCTCTGCCCACCACAGCGGCTCTGGGGGAAGTCACAAAGGGCTGAGATTCCCTCCTGCCTGCTTCGTTACACCTGCATGTCTGTCGTGAAAATAGGCATCATAACGTAGTCAGGGAACCCACTGTTTTCGGATGCTGGCAGTGTCGGCTTTTCATAGGCCTGGCTTTTCATGGGGAGACCAGTTATGAATGACACTGTACATAGCCCAGGCTTTGCTCTCTGCTCTCCCCTGAGTTTGAACCACTTGAAAAGAAGGTTTACTCTCCTCTGGAAATGCAACCTCTTCCTTCCACTTCTCTCCTCCCCGACTCCTTTCTCCTTCTCCGCCCCCTCTTTCCATCTTCTTTCTGAAGTAACAGGTGCTAGAAAGGGCCCGTACATGCAAATTCATTAGAATTCATCTCAAAAGGAATTATAAATATTCATGTTAGAATGAGTCAGTTAAGCCCTGGGCCACAATTTCCTTCCCTTTATAGGCAGATTATGTTTACCCTGCAGTATTACTCCATTGTCATAGCAAGGTTTTAATTCTCCGCTCACCATCTTATCTGTCGAGGGTATAGTTCCCATTATACAGACAGACAGACAGACAGACTTAATCCGACATACTTATAGCTATGAATGCCCAAGTCTGAAAAATTCATGAAACTACAAAGTCATATAAGAAACATCTATTCGCTGCCACAGGTGACGCAGAATCTCTCCTTGGGCAAACATTAGCCAGGTTCCTCTGAGCCCTCTGCTCACACCTTGGCCTTGACTTAGAGCTTCATGCCATCCTTGTGGAGCCCTATTAAGCCAATTTAAGATAATCCCTTGTCCTTGACATCTGATCAACCTGGTCTGCCTTCAGAAAGAATCTTTTCATGAGCTTTAGCAAAACACGTATTGTCCATCCACTGAGGTCCTCAACTCATTCCTCGGTTATAAATTCTTAACTTTTGTTGTATGTGGGTTTGAACCCATTCTCTCGTCCATCTCTCCAGCCTTGACACTTATTGTTATAGTCCTGAATAAAGCCTCCCTTGCCATTTTAATGGGTGTCAGAATAACTTTTAACACAGATTAAAGCTTCAATACTGAGGTTTTTTTAAAGAACCTAATACTTATATGGTGCTTAACATGTGCCATGATGTTCTTTGTTCTAAAAGTTAAGTCTGTTCCTCCTGAAAACCTAATGAAGTAGTACTGTGGTTATTATCTTTAATGCATAGATGAAACTGGGGCCCTGGAGGTTACTCACCCAGGCACACAGAGATAGAGCTATAAAGTAGAACCGATATTTCAATCCAAGGAGGCTGCCCCAGAATCCATGTTCTTGAAGCACAAGGTCACTCTGCCCTTGGAAGTAGGTTGGGTTATCTGCTCTATCTTCAGAGCAAGACCTTCAGATTCAGCTGCACACAGAAACCTCCTAATGTTAATGAGTCAAGCAGGGCTGAGGGGATTGGGCCACATGGAAAGTCTGTGCCCATCAAGTGCTACCTAGGCGTTGCCATCTAGAAAATGCAAATCTTCTGGTTTTTGAAGTAGAAGAAGGAAGGGAGAAATGTGGGTTTTTATGAAGGATCTGTTCAGTTTGAAAGAGAAAGAAGGGAAAGATAAAAGAGAGAGGAGAAGGGGACAAGGGAAGGGAAAGGGAAACCATGCAGGACACACACATACACCTGGGAGAAAGGACTTATTCAGTCTGGAGGAGAGACATTTGCAACCTCATTTTAATTTTTTATTTACTTTTATTTTTATTGCTACAAGTTTGTAGTACATAATGATTACATTTATCGTGGGGCATTGGTATATGTGAATAACACATCTTAAGTCCTCTTCATTGAAATCTTTTAACTTTCAGTTGCTGAACTTTGAGCTTTTCATATTTTACAATTCTTTGGCAAACTGGGTTTCTTGGCTCCAGCTCCCTAACATGAGGACAGGCTGTACTCCTGGCTTTGTGAGATCCACCTGCTTTTCATAGCAGGTGTCCAGTCTTCTTGGTTTTAATCATCAAAACCTGGATGACAGTTTAATAAATAAGATACCACCATTTTCTTACTTCTAGGAGCACTGTTTTGAATTGTGTTTTCATTAATATTTCATGTCATGTGTCAAAATTTCCTGTCAGTTCAGAATTTTGCCGGGCTTTAAGAATGGTTATTTCAAAGGGAAACAGTGTTAATTAATAACTCTTATGTATAAGACCCTGCTCTACATCCTATGGGGTAACCAGAAAAGGATCAATAAGCTTCTCATCTTCCCTCCTAGGTCTTGCAGTATCTGTGGAAATGGGGCATTTATGCAACTAACAAATGGTACAAAACAGTTGTGAAAATCACAATACAAAAGACAAGGACAACTAACTTGTTGGAGCTTTTTGAAAAAAAATAAACTATAACTTGAATACTTTAGAGGCCTTCAAAAAGGAAATTGTGTTATCATTATGTATGCCTAAAATGTACCAGTAAATGTTTTGCTATTTTTAAAAAGTGAGGGCAAAACTTTTTTTTTTTTTTAAAGGGAAATTGGGTTCAGGTAGGGCCTTGAAGACTGTTGGGGTTTTGGGAGATGAGAGCAGACAGTAGGCAGAAAGGTATGGTAAACTTTGATGTGGGAGAGGGAGAGGGAAAAACAGAAGCATGTTTGCTTGGGGCATGGCAAGGGACTGAAATGGAAAATTCAACTATGGAAAAATACAATTAAAACCCGGAGACATGGTTTAAATGAGCAGAGAGCAGTCAAGACCTGGGATGGGAAAATGGTCAATCTGTCAATAAGAATATTCAACCAGATGCAATGGTTTGTGGGAAAAAGTAAGTTCAGTTCACCATTGGATATCACATCATAGTAGATCAGCCAAACAAGATTTTTAAAATTTAAAATGTATTTTCAAACCAAATTGACCTTGCTTTATTTTGACATTTTATAGCCTGTGCTGAGATTGCACTGTTTCATGTATTATCCATCACTTGCAAATAAGTAGGATCCTTGAATGCTGGAGGCAGAAAAGTTCTTAGGAATCATAAAACCCATTTGCCAATGAGTTAATTTGAGGCCCAGCAAGATTAAATGATTAGCCTAAAGTAACACAGCCTACTAATGATAGAGATAATGTTTAAATATAGTCTGCCATTATTTTGTCCATATGCCTTTCGGTACAAATCCCAGGTCATATTGAATAGATTTGTAAAGCTTTAGCATTACTCCACTTCTGAGTACCTCCATCTCCCCTCCTGGTGTCCTACTTATCACTCCCATTTACTAATGAATATATTGCTTTCTTAATATTTTTAGAATTTACATAATCATATACAAACCTGTTTTATGTATGTACATAAGCACATGGAGTGTTTTAGGTATTGATATCGTCTTTTCTATATCTTGATTTTTTTTTTCAAGCCACCAAGGTTTGGAGAAATCCTTGCCAAATGGAAAGTTTTTTTGTTTGTTTAGTCCCAAGGATCCAACTCAGGATCTTGTACTTGCAAGGGAGATGATGGAACCACTGGCTAAATCCCCAAACCTCTAGTTATTTATTTTCACAGTTGCTTAGTATGTTATAGTAGGGATATGTCATGATATACCCTACCATTCCCCTTATTCATGAGGATTGGCTTGCTTCCAGTTTTTCCTTCTACAAATAGTACTTCAACATATTTATCCATACATCTATATATGCTGGTATTTTATTTCTGTTGATAAGAGTTGGTGCTACTGGGTCAAGGAAATGTGTATTTTTAGTTTTCAAAACTAAACTCCTTCCTCAACAAAGCTGTAGCAATACACATGTGTGTGTAGAATTAAGAAAAGTTCTTTCACTAGGTCTTCTTAGGCCAGAGTGTTGTCTCTTTTAATAATTTTTGCAAGGGCAATTGGTATAAAGTAAAACCTCACTTTTAATTTGTACTTATTTGACTACGGATGAATTTGATCTTCTTTACATAAGCTTGCTAGTTTAATTTCTCATTGTGTAAGCTGTGTTTTCATGTTCTTCGTGTTTTGTTTTGTTTTCCCATAGAACGATTTCCTTGGTGTGAAGATTCAACATGGCTAAATAGAGGTGCAGCCACCTTGGAGCTACTCAGAGAAAATCAACTAAAAACACAGGTAATTGAAAGAAAAGGAGGGACATACATCCTGATGCCAAAATCAGTCTGAAATAAAAGACTTGCGAATCAAACAAAAAGGCATAGGACTTTATAAAACAGAAATCAGTTTACAGGGCTGCCAGTGGCATGGCCACAAGCCTGCAGAACAGGAACCCCCATTCTGGAAGTTCCCAAGCACTGATGGACTGCAATCATGCTGCAAAGTCAAGCTACACAAGATAAATCCAGGATATAAGGCCCCTCACTCCTTTTACCTTCCTGCAAACAAAAGATACTGCAGCCTGGCAACAAATTTCTCTGGCACACAAAGGGACTACTGACCAGGAACCTGATCCCTCCCAGTTTCTCTTTCTCTCTCACTCTTTTTCTCTCTTCTTTTCTTTTCTTTTCTTCCCCCATTGTTGTTGTGGACCCTAGCGGCTATCTGGAACCTCTAGCAAAAGCAAAGTTAGGGACCACAGTAGAGTAATAATAGTGCGTGGAACAGCAGGACTCCTCTTGCCCTGTGACCAGCAGGCACCAGAAAGGGACACTGATGGGAGGGATTTAAGCAGTCTTGGGCAGAGGTAGGACGAATACGAAGTCAGCATTCCCCCTGCTAGAGAAGACATTGAAGCAGATGGAGTAGCCCTGGGAGGAGAGAGGAGAGTCAGTGGAGGCTGTGCAAGTACGGGAAGGCACCAACTGTAACAAGACTGGGAGTATCCTCGGTCTGTCTCTGAGGGCACCACATCTGCTTGGAGAGCAATAAAGAGACAAACAGGTAAGGAGACGCGGGTGGGCTGCTGATGAGCATACAGAAAGTTGCTGACTGAAGACTGGCCCGGCCCCCAATCCCGAGACCAAAATCAGCACCACACCCACTACTAATCCTTCTGCAGACTTGACAGGGTTGCCAAACAGTTTTGGGCTCTGAGTTGGACACTGCAACAGAATTGTGGACACAAGAGGCATTTTATTGTTTTTGTTTTGTTTTGTTTTGTTTGATTGCTTGTTTTCCTTTTTATGTCTTTGCTGTTGTTGTTGTTGTTTAGGTTTTTGCATTAATTGTTTTGTTTTGTTCCTCTTGTTTCTCTATTTCCTCAATTGTCTTTCTTGATTTTTTGATATTTTTATGTGAGTGAACATAGCCTCTAGTCTTCCTGGTTTGTTTCCATATTCTTTTGCTTTCTTCTTTATTCTATACTCTGTTGCCCTCTTTTCCAGTGTCCCAAAGCTTGGGTGATCTTTCTTTACCTTTCAGCTTTGCTTCTTTTTTTTTGTAAGCAAAATATTTATTGGTACATTTTTAGATACACATAATAACATTTCATCATAGGGAATTTGTACCTGTACATAATATATCTTGTGTCTTCCTTTTTTTCCCATTCCTATCTCCTCCTTTCAACCCCTCTTCCCCTCCTTATTTACAAAAGCTTTATTTCTTTTTTTTAGCAAAAATATTCATTGGTACATTTCATTTATCTCTCTGTGTTGTTCCCTATCCCTCTAAACTTCCACCCCACACACACAGGGTAAAATTACTCTACAAAGGGGAAACTCAGTTAAAAGTACCAACTTAGTAAATACCACAGTTTGTCCATTTCTCAGCCATGCTTGATGATTGTACTACTTTAACCAAGGTTTCATACCTGTTATAATCAGTTATTCAGCCTTGTATGACAACACTGTGATTGTTTGGGGTCATCACTGTCACCATAGTCCAGTACTAAAGGACTGGTTGCTGAACCAAATAGCAACTTCTCATCTCTAATAAATTGGGAGGGTAGAGGAACAGGCACAAAGATCAAGACCCACCTACACCTAGAAGACGTCTTTGAGGAATAGGCACTTCTTAGGGAAGCCTTGATACTAGTGATAAAGCTATCTACCATAAGAAGTTTACAGGCATTAATATAGAAAACAAATTAAAATTAAAAATGGACAATGACAAGACGCAGAAGGAAAATGCAACCCGAGACCACAAGCCCACCCAGGACAAGTTCAGGGAACAATGAAAGGGAATCAGTAGCCACCCACCTGAACTTTCTAAAATGATAACAGCAGAAGTAAAAAACCCAGATGCATGAGGCTATAGAGAAAATCAGTTGAGAAATAATTTCCCAGATAAAGAAGAGGAGTGACAATCAAAATGAAGAATTGTTCAGTGAATCTAGAGTAAACGCAGACTTTTTTTAAAAAGAGGAGCTTAGGAAAACAATGGAAACTATGAATGCCCAACATATAAAAGAAATGAAAACAGATTCAAACAGATATCTGGGAGATTAAAAATTCCATTCATAGTATACCCAACTCTTTGAATAAAGGTGAGGATAGAAGATCAGATCTAGAAGACAGGATTGTGGTTAGTGATCACAAAAAGAAAAATTTCTTAAAAATAGAAATAAACAATAAAAAAATCAATCCAACAACTGCAAGATGATGCAAAGAACAAAATAGGATTGACTGGAGTCAATGAGAAAGCAGAGGACACCACAAACATAATAAAATATCTATTTACAGATTCCAGAATTTCAACACAAGAACAGAATGTTAAAAGCTGTTAGAGAAAAGAAACATCATGTAGAAAAGAAAGCCCATCAGAATCACAGAAGACTTCTCAACACAAACCCTTAAGTCAAGAAAAGCTTGGAGTGAAGTATTTCTAGTCCTAAAAGACAACTTCCAACCCAGATTGATGCACCGTGAAAAACTATCTGCCTATCCTTTTTGCCTATCCTCTAATACATCAAACATTTTTTCTAAAATCTATTGCATTTTTATTTGTATCTTTTGCCGTGCAAAACTTTTGAACTTCAGTCACATAAGTTTATGTTTTCTGATATAGTTTCTGCCTCATCAGAAAAATCCAACCACCACTAGATTATCCTGATGGTTTTAGACTTTCTTACATGGTTTTAGTTTGTCTATTTTACATTTTAACCTTTGACCCATCTAAGATTTCCTTTTGGAATTGGTATAAGATAAAAGTCTGGTTTGTTTTTCTTCCAGAGGGACTGTTTGTCGGCCTCTTATGTTGGATAACCCACCCTTTGGCCCCCAAAGTGAAATATCTCATTTGTCAAATATTAAACCCCTCTTCAGTCAGGGTCTATTTCTTAATATTCTATTTCAGATAAGCTATCTGTTCAGGCCTACTTCAGTACTTACTGATTTAATTACGGTAGCTTTACAAAGTTTCTGATTTCTGGTAAATCAGATTACACAAATTACTTTTCAGGTAGTTATCAAATATAGGTGTTTACATTAAAATCTATTTCTAGACAGCAATGGGATACAAGCAGAAATTAACATATCACAATAACAGTTGTTTCATTAAATGTTTTTTCAAAATCTTTCTTCCCACGGTCTATTTTCTGTCAGCAGATTGGAAATAAAAGTTTAATGTGTTTATGTGACCGTATAAAAATGGCAATTTGGTATACTTTTAGTTCAGTGGTATACCATATTAATGGCACTATTTCTTTTTTTTAATCCTCAGTCCAGTATTTCAGAGGACTCGTCCCTGGCTGTGTATTTATCCTGAGAACTAACAGCTTCCCAGAAGAAACATCACGCAAGGGAGGGCACTGGAGTGTTCTTAGAGAAAAATTCCATGGGGACTGTACCTGACCCTCTGAGATCCACAAAAGCTTCCCTGATTGCAGTTGCTGGAAGAGAAGAGCCTCAAGAACTGCAGGCTGCCTCACCCCGGCACCAACCAGCTCAACTGGGTAGGGATACCAATGGCCTTGCGGGCTTCCCTACAGAACCCAGCCTCGGCCCCAGAACAGCTGCTGAGTCTCTGATGCAGGCTTTTGAGCATGAGACCACCCAGCCAGACATGTCTTCCCCTGGTGTCTTCAATGAGGTGGCGAAGGCATCTCCCACACACAATTCTCCTGGTCATTCCCAGCTGCCAGGAAGCAGCGAGCCCATAGCACCAGCCCAGAGTCCCACAGGCAGAAAGGATCTTATACGCACACCATTGACAATGCCAGCCCATCAGCACATTCACCAGGCCACCCAAGGTGAACGGCCCAGTGCCAGTGCCTCAGGGGTACCTGAAGATTCCTCAGTGACGTTGCAGAGAACCTCAGATGGAGAGCAACCTGAGAGGTTAAGTTGTCCTGCCGTGGGCACCGGTGGCAGCAACAAAGAGCAAGTGCTCTGTGATTTTCCTTCTGAGGAAACTATCCAGGGAATGGCACCGACTCCAAATACAGAAGCCATGGTGTGCAGTCCTTCATCCTGTCCTGCAGGTGGACAAGAAAGAAAAAAGGAGCAAGCTGTCTGTGACTCCATGGGTAGGTCCTGTGACCCCCCAGCAGGAGAAGATGGATGTGCAGACAACAAACAGCCCCCGGCCACTGCCTCCTCAAACACCCGAGGTGTAACTTCTCCTCTACCCCACCTCACTAGCAAAGGCTCCACGTGTCCTCCAGATCCAGAGAAGGAGCTGTTGCCAGCACATGAGGTGTCAAGGTTCAAAGAAGCCAGCACGATGACCAACCAAGTTGAAAATGTAAAGGAAGTCTCCAGCAGAACCCAGCAAGATGCTGAGGTACAGGCAGTGGCGAGTGTGGAGAGCAGATCTGTCTCCACCAGCCCTAGCATCCTCACTGCATTCTTAAAGGAAATCCCTGCCCCTGAGCTTTTGGAACAACAAGAGCAGCTGCGTGTCATTTTCCATGGTAGTGGTAGTGAGAGCCATGTGCTAGAACTCTCTAACACCATGCCAGAACTTCAGGAATCGGGTCAGTGTCCTGGCACTATGCCACAGGTGCACATCCAGGTGGCTTCAGCTGTTTCTGCAGCTGTCCAAGGGGACCATAAACCAGTGAACCAACCAGATGAAGTCCTTAAAACCACGTCAATCAATGTGGCCTGCAGTCATGCCCATGATATTTTCAAAGAGGATGGGAAGTCAGCAGGAATGACCCCTCCCGAGGAAGAGCCAACCTGTACACAGCTTTCAGGTACTAATTCTAGCTCCCTGAAGTCTAGCTCCACTAACCATATTTCTAGCATTGCAGGCACTGAAGCTGACAATAGTCGTGGTTTGGGGAAATATGAAACTGAGCTCTCTGAGTTTGTAGTGAAAACCACAGAGGACCACAAAACAGGTTCAAATTGCAAACACTCTGACTCCTGTACCAGAAGAGATGACCAGTCCAGGAGTTCGGAGCCCACTAATAAAGGAGGTGCAAAGGAGAGGAAGTCTGAGTCTTCTCGAATAGTAAAAGAGCAAGAGTCTGTTGGCACCAGTGCTCCGGATGCTAAGACACTACTGCTCCATCCTAAATCTAAAGAAAATGGAGGTTCGGGATCCACACCCTCCCCACTTAAGAAGAACCAGGAAGGCGTCTCAGAAGACAACAGACAGACCAAGACGGCCACAAGCCTAAGCCTGCCATCCGATTCCATGGGGGACTCCAGCCCAGGTTCTGGAAAGCGGACCCCTTCTCGCTCCGTCAAAGCCAGCCCACGCCGGGCCAGCCGGGTCAGCGAGTTCCTCAAGGAGCTGAATGTGACAGCGGCCGCTGCTCAGGTGGGACTCACGCCAGGAGAGAAGAAGAAGCAGCTGAGCACAGACTCCAAGCTGAAACAGTCCAAGCGTGTCAGGGACGTGGTGTGGGACGAGCAGGGCATGACCTGGGAAGTGTACGGTGCCTCGCTAGACCCGGAGTCCCTGGGAATCGCCATCCAGAACCATTTACAAAGACAAATTAAGGAACAAGAGAAATTAATCAAAACGCAAAGTGGTCAGACCCGGAGATCCATTTCCTCAGATACTTCTTCAAATAAGAAGCTCAAAGGCAGGCAGCAGAGTGTTTTCCAGTCCGTGCTGCAGAACTTTCGACGCCCTAACTGTTGTGTCCGTCCTGCCCCATCTTCTGTGTTAGACTGAAAAGGAGTCCAAGTATACATCCATGGTATTCATGTGTGCCCATCTATGCCAAGGAAGAGACCAGGAAGAAAAAGCAAGTGTTAACTACAGCCACTTGATTAAGAAAGTGTGTGTCCTTTAACTGATGGCCCATAAGTAAAAATGCCATTTCAACTGGAAAGTAAGCAGGAGAAGAAAAGCAAATTTCACCGAAGGTTTTCATCCCTAAATAAGTGAAAATACTGTTCAACGGGTTGTAAAAAAAAATATGGTGTTGCTTATAGAAATAACATTATCATTGTACATGTGTCATTTTGTATCACTGCCTCAATTTATCACATGATGGTATATCCATTAAAGATCCTCACTTTATATTAAAAAGCAAAAAAAAAAAAAAACACTACTAGCAAAAATCTTACTGCAGTCCTATTACAGTAAGAATATTATTACCACACAAAATTTAAGTAGGTAATAAGAACCACAATGTAATAAACTTGAAACAAATTTGACTTATTCCTAGGCCAGATATCTTTAAATACATAAAACACCAAATATGAATTAGCATTTGTAAATGTCTTCAGACAACCTTTTTATCAACCTTGTTACATATACAAGAAAGTAATGTTAGGAAAATTAACTAAGCTTTTGAATATGAGTAATATCTAAATCAACCATGAATTTATATGTACACATTTTCCTGTGCAAAAGATTCTGAACAAATTAAATTCTTGTTTTCTTACACCAGAGAAAGTATATGGAACTGGATTCTTGGAAGGAATCATCAAATTATAATAATTGCAGATTTTATGTTATCCTGTAATATACTACTGAGAGCATTACCTTTCTGATACAGAATAATAAATAGCAGATTACCAAACACTTTTCTCTGTGTCAATACAAGGCAAGGCTCCTGAGTAAAAGAAATACTATATTTAATCTTAATTTCTGTAAACAGCATGAAAGTAGTGTATTTCTTTTGATTTAGTTTGGTAGCATCTAGTAACAAATATAATCAACACCAAATGGAACACAGGCTTTCTTGGATGATACAAATATCAATTTAATTGCTTAAGTCTATGATCTGGAGCAAGAAAGTAATTTCTGAAAATTTTGAAGTTAGGAAAGATACCATCATGCCTCCACCTTCAAACCCAGCAGAAGAGGTCTTTAAGAAACCATAGTTTGAGCTTTGAGTGGGCCAAGTCCCCTCAGAACACAAGCACCTGCTTGAGCTTAGTCCTCCCTCATCTCTGGAAGAGGAGGGGTTTCCAGAGACCCTACCAAAGCCTTGGTGACCAACAGAGGTGTGCAGATTGTGGTACTGGAGAAAAGGGCAAGAGCTAAAGCACTAGAAAGGCTTTCCTTCCTGGAGTCATTGTAGGGAGAGCATCAGTCTCCATCTCGCATAAAAAACTGTTACATGTTCGAGGGGTGCTGGTTATCATCTGTGACTTCATTCCTCCACTGAGCCAGCAAAAATAATCTGACCACCTATTATGTTCTTCAGAGACTCAAGTACCATTGGTACCATCAATTCACAATATCTAGTTTGGCTTGTTTCAGCTTAAAGAGGGGGAAAAAATCATTCCCGAGCTTTAACATCACAAGCTACACTGGGCCCAACCCAAATTAATAAAATGGCTTTGATTTCTTGCAAAGCATTTTAACTGTATATCCAGCCTGCAGAAGTAGACACAGTGACAGCACTGACAGCATCCTCACAGCCTGAGATTGGTAATTACAGTTGTTATATCTGGAATTTATAATGAATTTTATAATGCACATTTTTCAGTTTCTTACTAATTGCCCTCTATTAAGAATACTATCTAAAGTAGAAGTTACCACCAAATTACCAATCAAATTATTATTAATGATTAGAGATTTAGTTTAAAACTCTTTTGGCCTTAGGCACCCATTTATCTCAGTTGCCTTTTCCAGGACACAATCTTGTCTTCTCACTCTCAGGCTGTCTCCAGCCCAGGATGGCACACGTGCTGTGTATACACAGGGTACACTTTGAGTACACAGGGACAGCTGTCAACAGAGCCCACTCTAGATGGGCAGGCCCCAGGTAATCCTTGGCTGTGAGACAGAACAGGATGTTCCTGCATTAAAACAGAGTAGAAAGAACTCAGCATCTGGCAATAATATTTATTTTCATGAGTTTAGAGTAACCACATGATTTATAAATAGTTAATTGAATCAGTGACCTAAGACAGTTGTAGGCATTTACACCACATTAAATAAATCAAAACTGTTCATTTGATTTTGTGATTGTGCCTCTCAAATGAACTCTTCAAAAAAAATGCTTGAGGTCCGTAAGTTTGGCTTTTTTTGGTGCTAGAACTAAATTCTTGACTCCTATAACACTCTAGAAATTGTCACAAAATAGAACAAAGGCTTTCTTCTTTTGTTGCTTATTGAATCTTATAGAACTAACAGCTTTTAGAAATAATTGAATGCGTAAATAAGATAGGAACCTATTTAAAATAGTGTTTTGACAATAAATACTTATTTGAAATTTTTCCTTCACTTCAGTCAGCAACACAGCGTTAGAATTTTGCACATCATTTGAGATCCCTTGAGTTCATTCAATGAGGAAGTTACAGAATCGTTTTTCTGGTAGATCCTGTGAACTTTCTCAGTTATTCCTTCCTTCACCTGCATTACACACACTGGGATGAAAGTTGTTTGATGTTCCTTAATACCTTTTACACATGTATCTTTGTTTTTGAAATATATAAGAAATATTTTATTAAATCAAGATATAGGAAATAGTCCTTAGCCCAGTAATAAAAGTGGTGCATTAGACTTCAGCATGTGGGGAAATCATTCATCATTTACAATGTGAAGATATTATACCACTTACCAAGTAAATATCAGAAATTTTTATTTAAATATTGATTGTTCTATTTTTATGACCACAAGAAAAGTATCTTGGCTTCAGCTACCATATGTTTATCTTGAATGCTTTTGTAATTATGTCTTTTTGGATTATGGGCTATTGATGCCACAGGTCAGCTACTTTACATACAGTAAAATCCAGATTATCTTTTCTGTTTTGGGTCAGTGGCCTAAACTGAACATTTTTTTCAGTCAAGTTTAACTAGAAACCTCTTTCTTTGTGTCCAAAGTGAAATATTTATAAAGTGTATTAATATGTTTTCCTACCTTGCCAAGTCCAGCAATATTGAATGTACTTTGGTCTTTGGTAACGCTCTAATCTTCAAAATCATCTGATACACTTTATTTTAAGTATCAGCATAGGTTAAAAAATTGGACTAAGTTCACATGTGTAGCATATAACACAGAGGTTGGATTGGATTTTGAAACCTTTTTTTTTTTTTTTTTTTTTTTTTTTTTTTTTTTTTTTGGTACTGGTGATTGAACTCAGGTCCTTGCACTTGCAAGGCAGGCCACAAAACTGCTGAGCTAAATCGCTGGCCCATGAAACCAAATTCTTAACAGGATCTCTCTGTCTTAAATAAGAAAGAAGAGAAAAATGACACTTGGTTGTAATCCAGTTTATTGAGGTTTATCATCCCTAGTTTGTTCTGTTATTCCTTTCATTTTAGGGAATCCCCATAATTCTGGGAATAGCTGTATATACCACACAAAAAATAGAAAACATTATGACTAAAATTCATTTACAGAGGCTATGTACAAGTAAAGTATGCTGTTAATATAGATTGTCTGGCCTTTGCAGTATTACAGTTTTGCTGCCAAAATGTGACAAACTATTATCTTCTTTTCCTCCTACATATTTTGCAAGTGTTAAAAAATTGTACACCTCTACTACCGCATAATTCACCATATCCCTTGCCTACATTTTCAGAATCAGTGTAAAGACAACTGATGCATTAGGACAAGGTTTCCATATATGTATACATGTTTTTATTGAAAACGGGGCACTTACAGCCTTGGCTAGACCTACACCTGCCTGATTTACTAATTACAACGCTGCCATGGAGATGGGGATGTTTACTCTCTCCGGCTTTGTCCTACGTGGTGTTTGAGAAATGAAGCCTGTGAGTTTCCCTCTGTGATAAGAGCACAGTGAACTCAGAGGTGACCACCTCGATCCCCACCCCTGCTTTGTAGACACAGTGAATCCGAAGTCGCCCACTTCCTCTTCAGTGTTTGCCATTTCACATCCATATCTGAGCGTGCTGTTTTCCACGGTGAGCAGTGTTCCTTGTCACATGTGACCCTTTTGGTTGACTCTTTCCGAATGCAAATCAGCTGCTGCCACCTGGCAAATAACAGGCGATTTGCTGAATCTCTTGTCCATCCATATAACTATATCCTTCTTAATGAAATTCTGTAACTGGCTGAGTAATTATAAATGTCATCCGTGCAACCACATGAGCTTAAGAATGGCTGCACAATTTTGAACTTTTTTTTTTTTTGCAAAAGAAGAAAATATAGTCTTATAAATGTTAAAACATTTTCATGAACTTTATCCTACTCTCAGAAAAAAATAATTATCCTTGGATACAGAAATCAAATAGATTTGGTTTGCAAGGACGAATGAAGATGAACTGAGGTGGAAAAATTCTGTTTCATAAGTAATCAGTGGCATCTGCCAGAGGTCATTACAGCTACTTTTAACTGTGAACACTCACCAGCTAAACAACTCACTTGCCACAACCAGATAACCTCTCTCAACTAAATCCAATACATCTGTATATATGTGTAGATAGAAACAAACAAACAAATAAATTCCTGAAACATTACTTTTGGCTGTTAGAAAAACCAAGGTGATAATAATTGTAAAGAACGTTCAAATTACCATGGGACATGGAGAAACGACTGTGGGGCCAGAATGGTGCAATAAGATGTTATTTACAAGTTTTTTAAAACCCAGATATCTCAGATGTTAATCATGAGAATAAAGACTATTGAGTACGAAATTAAAGCCAAGCAATAATGTGCCAAAAAAATGAGGCCGTTATACCAGCAAGTGCACCTATTAAGGGCACAACATTATATAACTGTGGTTTGCTCTGTGAAGACTGACTATAACCCAGAGGATAAATGAAGTTAAGGCATCATTTCTATTTTCCTGTTGGAAAAAAAAAATTGTTTAGGAGCTTCATAAGGCGAAGCAACATTGGTGAGCAGAAGGGGAGACACAGGTAATATCTCTACTTCCATGCCAGCCAGGAAAGAAGAGGAGCCACTGAAAGTTTTACTGGATAAAAACTCAAGAAAGCTCCAACAGAAATTGTGTTGAATGAAGGGGTTAAATTGACAGTAGTTACTCTTCCTGGACACTAGCATGTTAGAAAGCAATTCAATTAACTCTGCCCAGAGGATTACCAACCTTAGCTATGAAAAATGGGCTCCCAAGTGTAAAATTATGAAAACCAAACTACTTGTATCAAAAAGGGCCTCAAATAATGCCTTACAGAAAATGATGTTCCAAATGGTCATTTCTAAATACCAATTCTTCATCAAGTGTCTTTCTGGGTTCAAGCTCTAAATGAATTGGTTGTAAAATGGTAGGAATTAGAATCACATATTTTATACTTCGGGAAGAGATACATACGGTCAACCAGTATGGTGATAATTATGAGATACAGTAGTGATTTAAGTGTGTTAGGGAGAATTAAGTGTGTTAGGGAGAATTTGATGGAAGAGAGATACTAACTTATTTCCTGAAATGTGAAAATGTCATCAATTTATCTCTGGGGAGAAAAATATAACTTGCTTTTTTTTTTTTACATTGCTGCTAGTATTATTACTCATTGTTACTTTAAAAATTAAATACTCTTTTTTAGAAAAAAATTTTAAGCACTTAAGCAATTTCTGGTTCAAATCATTGCTTTTAATTTCATGTAAAAGCTGTGTGTAAAGAAAACTATATTGGATGAGTAGAAAGGGCTTACCTATGCTAATCAGCATCCTTAATTATTTTAGTTTAGATTCCTTAGCATTTGCTTTAAACCATATCTTTGAGTAACTTTTTTTCTACCTGTCTTAAAATGAAGTAGGTAAATCAGATGATTGCAGTATTAGAAACCCACTCCTTAACCACTGGAGTAGAGGAGAGACCAGTTCTTAGTTTAAGGGCATCTAGAGATGTCTTTTGGATGTTGAGAAAGCTCAAAAGGGCCTAAAATTCAAGGAAAACATAAACTAGCAATTACTAAATTTCTAATTGTATTTATCTCTGCTGTATTAATGTGTGAGCAATCTGTTATGCAGAATACTGTAGTTGGTCTTGGTACATTCTGTGTGTACAATTTGTGAGTAATCAATACTATTTTTTGTGTAGAAAAAACAACATCTGTATCCCATTTAAAGGCTCATTCCCATCATTTGGTAGGCACATGTGCAAACGTGAATAAAGCCAACAAAAATGTGTGTGTGTATTCAGTTACAGAATTTGTCTTTTCATTTTTGAAGGTCAGAAGGGGCTAGTCTTCTGTTTTGTCTCTTTTTCATCCCTGAGAGTAGATAACATAATTATCACAAAGGCTGAATGTAATAATTAGTTATTACTAAACATACTAGGGCTAATTAACCGCACCATTAGTGACAGGTAAGGTCGGTTCTTTGACCACTGGGATGAGTTATAGTCCTCACACCTCCTCTTGTATCCAGTGTGTGACTCGGATGTAAATACACTGAGTGTTATTGTGTACATACCTTGTATGGATTATCTAAATCCTCAAAGCAGTCGTAGGAAAGCAAAAGTTGTTCAGAAGCTTCAGAAGGGCTAATCAGTATGCACTTTCACTTTCTATACATAAAAATCTACACATAGCATAAGTGTAAATAGCTTATCCCCATACATATGCACCTATAGATGCATTTTATTCATGCTAGTCTATTTGAACAAATCATAAATTAAAACAACTTATTGACAGCTACATCTTTGCATGACTTTTCTGTTTTACAACTATGATTATTGGACCTGATGCTCCCTGTTACCTGGTATTACTCCCTGGTAGATTTTATGCCTTGGCTCCAAAAATTCAGCTAGCTTCTTTCTTGAGGCTGATACCTGAGCAGCTTCAAAGTAAATGCTGTTCTTTAGGCACCTAATATTTTATCTGGAAATGACACAGGAGAAAACCAGTGTTACGTTTTGGAGACTCCATCTAGATATTTTTCAGTGTTTATCTGCAAGGCTAATGAAAGCCCTACCTTTTTTTATTTTTAATTTTTTGAGATGTATCCCAGATTTCAAAAGCATGTTTGGTCACTCAAAGTGGGAAACAATTGCAGGAATTCTTGAGACCAGTAAAATACTTTTTAACAACACAAAAAATCAAAATTAAAATAAAAAGAAATTATGGATGCGTTTGTTAGGATAATGGGATCTAAGCAATTGAGAGTGCCTTAAGAAAAACTCATACACAAAAAAAATCTTCTATATCCAGCCTAAATTACTATTATTGGTAATAAATGATTTTGCGTGGACTAAATACCAAAGTCAGAGTTATTAGCCAGAAAATATCAATACAAAACAAGATTTTTCATTGTAGCACAGTTCTAATCAGTGAGTTGATTTAAAATTTCTCTCATTTCTTCTCAAAGGAAATGCCCTATTGGAGATAAAAAAAATTTGACCCAACTTCTAAAACCCAATATAATTTGACCCTGATTCCTTACCACTAAAAGTATTGTTGCCTGGTTATTGGATTAAAGATAAATGAAAATATCAGAATCATCCTTTTGATAGAGAATCTTATTTGGAAATATACAAACATAACCACTTCTCAGTAAAAGGTACTGAGAGTCATATTTTGGAGAACGAATGTGCTATCTTTATACCGTAGATTAATCAATGGTAATAGCACTACACTTAAAATTATAGGAAGCAAAGATTTTTAGCTGTTAAAATATATTGTTTATAAAAGCAGCATACTTAAAATCTTTATATTTATCAATATTTGCTATGGCATAAAAGAGAAACATATAATTTTACATATGTATTAATTTAAATGACACCCAAATTGTAACTGTCAATAAAGAATCACTTGTGTGTGAATATGCAGCTAAGAAAGGCCAAAAGTGTAGTGCAACATTACTCTAAAAAATATTATTCAAAATGGGAAATATTTATAATGTATCAATATTAGAACCTAAAATTATGTCTTGTCATGATACCTATATATCAAGATCATAAAATGGTTTAAGAAAGTTCCCACCCCCCAGATACTGACCAATAAAACTTCATTTTCTACAAAAAGATGCAATGGTATTATTTATGTAAGGATAAAGATTTTGGATTTAAATATACTCCCACCTTAATTGCAAATTTAATTTTTGAATGAATGGTAATATTTGAACTGATGACCTACTTTACTTTCAAAATTTTAGAATATGATTTTTCTGCATCAC